AGAAACGTTAATCAGGGACACAGAATTGTTACTGAGGGCCACAGAACTGTTACTTAGGGCCACAGAATTGTTACTCGCACAGACACAGAATTGTTACTCAGGGACACAGAATTGTTACTCAGGGACACATAATCGTTTTAATTAAAGAGTATGTCAGACAACATGCAGAGGAGTGGCAGAGGAGGCAATGTTTTAGGAGCGAGCAGACGTGGCAGCAGAGGAAGGGGTCGAGGCAGCACTATTCGCAGCCAGAGGCCAGTGCTCCCGGTGTCATCCAGCGGTCGTGTCTCCACCGACAACCCTGCCGTCGTCGATTGGTTGGCTCGGTCGTCTTCCTCTTCCCAGGTCACCTCTGACACCTACAGCCAACGGTCGGTGGGTACGTCAGACACAACCGTTAGTTGGCATGGCCCGGGACCAAGCCCACTGAAATCACGTGTCCTCTACCTGCCCTGTCCTTTGGTGTTCCCTCACCAAGCGAAGTATCGCATGCTGTGGGCTCAGCCCCACTGTACAGTGAGGAAGAGCTAACAGAGGGCGGTCAGGAACGGGGGGAGACATCCGCCTTTTCAGCAGCCAGGCGAAGAAGTAGTGGCGAGGAGAGTGGCTCGGTAGCCGGTCTAGAGACAGGTCTGTCTCCTGACCCAGACGCAGCCGAGGGGGCTAGTAGTGAGGCGGAGACCCTACTTGATGATGAGGAGGTTGATCGCACTTGGCAGCCTCGTCGTCATCAGGCAATTTCTTCCGCATCATCAGGAGAAGAGGGTGGCAGCTTGGCAGTGAGCAAAACAGTCGGTGGGTTGCCCAGGAGACAGCAGCAGGGTCGCAGCAGTGTCAGTGGAAGCAGTGTCAGTGGAGCCAAACGGCCACGGAGTAGAGCACCAGCTCCACTGCAGCCTACCACCACGGCCAGTAGTGGTGCCGGTGTGCACGGAGGAAGCAGCAGTCAGCCAGTGAGGAGTATCGGGGAAAGTTTCCTACTCGGCGGGTGTGGCAATTTTTCGTCAAGCCGCCCGAGGAAGTAAACGTAGCCGTATGTCGACTATGTGGCCAGAAAGTCAAGCGTGGCCAGGGGGCCCATGTTGGGACTATTTGGGCCATGTTTGGGACAATGGGAGACCTCCCATTGCTGCTGTCTCCATCGCCACACTCTGCCATGTGCCACTTTCAGGTCTCCTCACACACTGCTGGTGTGTTCATTTTTTGACATAGGGTGCTGGCAGATTACGGGCCTCCCATAGCTGCTGCCTGCCAGGCCCCTAATCTGCCATAGGCCCCTATATACCGCCTCCTCATGCTGCTGCCAGGTCCAGAGTCTGTCATGGGTCCCTGTACGGCCTCCCATTGCTGCTGTCTCCATCGCCACACTCTGCCATGTGCCACTTTCAGGTCTCCTCACACACTGCTGGTGTGTAGAATTTTTTGACATAGGGTGCTGGCAGATTACGGGCCTCCATAGCTGCTGCCCCAGGCCCCTAATCTGCCATGCCAGGCCCCTATATACCGCCTCCTCATGCTGCTGCCAGGTCCAGAGTCTCTCATGGGTCCCTGTACGGCCTCCCATTGCTGCTGTCTCCATCGCCACACTCTGCCATGTGCCACTTTCAGGTCTCCTCACACACTGCTGGTGTTAGAATTTTTTGACATAGGGTGCTGGCAGATTACGGGCCTCCCATAGCTGCTGCCAGGCCCCTAATCTGCCATAGGCCCCTATATACCGCCTCCTCATGCTGCTGCCAGGTCCAGAGTCTCTCATGGGTCCCTGTACGGCCTCCCATTGCTGCTGTCTCCATCGCCACACTCTGCCATGTGCCACTTTCAGGTCTCCTCACACACTGCTGGTGTGTAGAATTTTTTGACATAGGGTGCTGGCAGATTACGGGCCTCCCATAGCTGCTGCCAGGCCCCTAATCTGCCATAGGCCCCTATATACCGCCTCCTCATGCTGCTGCCAGGTCCAGAGTCTCTCATGGGTCCCTGTACGGCCTCCCATTGCTGCTGTCTCCATCGCCGCCACACTCTGCCATGTGCCACTTTCAGGTCTCCTCACACACTGCTGGTGTGTAGAATTTTTTGACATAGGGTGCTGGCAGATTACGGGCCTCCCATAGCTGCTGCCAGGCCCCTAATCTGCCATGGGCCCCTATATACCGCCTCCTCATGCTGCTGCCAGGTCCAGAGTCTCTCATGGGTCCCTGTACGGCCTCCCATTGCTGCTGTCTCCATCGCCCACACTCTGCCATGTGCCACTTTCAGGTCTCCTCACACACTGCTGGTGTGTTAGAATTTTTTGACATAGGGTGCTGGCAGATTACGGGCCTCTCCATATAGCTGCTGCCAGGCCCCTAATCTGCCATGGGCCCCTATATACCGCCTCCTCATGCTGCTGCCAGGTCCAGAGTCTCTCATGGGTCCCTGTACGGCCTCCCATTGCTGCTGTCTCCATCGCCACACTCTGCCATGTGCCACTTTCAGGTCTCCTCACACACTGCTGGTGTGTAGAATTTTTTGACATAGGGTGCTGGCAGATTACGGGCCTCCCATAGCTGCTGCTGCCAGGCCCCTAATCTGCCATAGGCCCCTATATACCGCCTCCTCATGCTGCTGCCAGGTCCAGAGTCTCTCATGGGTCCCTGTACGGCCTCCCATTGCTGCTGTCTCCATCGCCACACTCTGCCATGTGCCACTTTCAGGTCTCCTCTCACACTGCTGGTGTGTAGAATTTTTTGACATAGGTGCTGGCAGATTACGGGCCTCCCATAGCTGCTGCCAGGCCCCTAATCTGCCATGGGCCCCTATATACCGCCTCCTCATGCTGCTGCCAGGTCCAGAGTCTCTCATGGGTCCCTGTACGGCCTCCCATTGCTGCTGTCTCCATCGCCACACTCTGCCATGTGCCACTTTCAGGTCTCTCCTCACACACTGCTGGTGTGTAGAATTTTTTGACATAGGGTGCTGGCAGATTACGGGCCTCCCATAGCTGCTGCCAGGCCCCTAATCTGCCATGGGCCCCTATATACCGCCTCCTCATGCTGCTGCCAGGTCCATCAGTCTCTCATGCCATGTGTGCCACTTCAGGTCTCCCACACTGCTGTGTGTTAGAATTTTTTGACATAGGGTGCTGGCAGATTACGGGCCTCCCATAGCTGCTGCCAGGCCCCTAATCTGCCATAGGCCCCTATATACGCCTCCTCATGCTGCTGCACAGGTCCAGAGTCTCTCATGGGTCCCTGTACGGCCCTCCCATTGCTGCTGTCTCCATCACACACTCTGCCATGTGCCACTTTCAGGTCTCCTCACACACTGCTGAGTTAGAATTTTTTGACATAGGGTGCTGGCAGATTACGGGCCTCCCATAGCTGCTGCCAGGCCCCTAATCTGCCATAGGCCCCTATATACCGCCTCCTCATGCTGCTGCCAGGTCCAGAGTCTGTCATGGGTCCCTGTACGGCCTCCCCATGCTGCTGCTCTCCATCGCCACACTGCCATGTGCCACTTTCAGGTCTCCTCCTCACACTGCTGGTGTGTAGAATTTTTTGACATAGGGTGCTGGCAGATTACGGGCCTCCCATAGCTGCTGCCAGGCCCCTAATCTGCCATAGGCCCCTATATACCGCCTCCTCATGCTGCTGCCAGGTCCAGAGTCTCTCATGGGTCCCTGTGTACGGCCTCCCATTGCTGCTGTCTCCATCGCCACACTCTGCCATGTGCCACTTTCAGGTCTCCTCACACACTGCTGGTGTGTAGAATTTTTTGACATAGGGTGCTGGCAGATTACGGGCCTCCCATAGCTGCTGCCAGGCCCCTAATCTGCCATAGGCCCCTATATACCGCCTCCTCATGCTGCTGCCAGGTCCAGAGTCTCTCATGGGTCCCCTGTACGGCCTCCCATGCTGCTGTCTCCATCGCCACACTGCCATGTGCCACTTTCAGGTCTCCTCACACACTGCTGGTGTGTAGAATTTTTTGACATAGGGTGCTGGCAGATGTGGGCCTCCATAGCTGCTGCCAGGCCCCTAATCTGCCATAGGCCCCTATATACCGCCTCCTCATGCTGCTGCCAGTCCATGGGTCCCTGTACGGCCTCCCATTGCTGCTGTCTCATCGCCACACTCTGCCATGCCACTTTCAGGTCTCCTCACACTGCTGGTGTGTAGAATTTTTTGACATAGGGTGCTGGCAGATTACGGGCCTCCCATAGCTGCTGCCAGGCCCCTAATCTGCCATAGGCCCCTATATACCGCCTCCTCATGCTGCTGCCAGGTCCAGAGTCTCTGTCATGGGTCCCTGTACGGCCTCCCATTGCTGCTGTCTCCATCGCCACACTCTGCCATGTGCCACTTTCAGGTCTCCTCACACTGCTGGTGTGTAGAAATTTTTTGACATAGGGTGCTGGCAGATTACGGGCCTCCCATAGCTGCTGCCAGGCCCCTAATCTGCCATGGGCCCCTATATACCGCCTCCTCATGCTGCTGCCAGGTCCAGAGTCTCTCATGGGTCCCTGTACGGCCTCCCATTGCTGCTGTCTCCATCGCCACACTCTGCCATGTGCCACAGGTCAGGTCTCCTCACACTGCTGGTGTGTAGAATTTTTTGACATAGGGTGCTGGAGATTACGGGCCTCCCATAGCTGCTGCCAGGCCCCTAATCTGCCATGGGCCCCTATATACCGCCCTCCTCATGCTGCTGCTGCCAGGTCCAGAGTCTCTCATGGGTCCCTGTACGGGCCTCCCATTGCTGCTGTCTCCATCGCCACTCTGTGCCACTTTCAGGTCTCCTCACACTGCTGGTGTGTTGAATTTTTTGACATAGGGTGCTGGCAGATTACGGGCCTCCTATAGCTGCTGCCAGGCCCCTAATCTGCCATAGGCCCCTATATACCGCCTCCTCATGCTGCTGCCAGGTCCAGAGTCTCTCATGGGTCCCTGTACGGCCTCCCATTGCTGCTGTCTCCATCGCCACACTCTGCCATGTGCCACTTTCAGGTCTCCTCACACACTGCTGGTGTGTAGAATTTTTTGACATAGGGTGCTGGCAGATTACGGGCCTCCCATAGCTGCTGCCAGGCCCCTAATCTGCCATAGGCCCCTATATATACCGCCTCCTCATGCTGCTGCCAGGTCCAGAGTCTCTCATGGTCATGGGTCCCTGTACGGCCTCCCATTGCTGCTGTCTCCATCGCCACACTCTGCCATGCCATGCCACTTTCAGGTCTCCTCACACACTGCTGGTGTGTTGAATTTTTTGACATAGGGTGCTGGCAGATTACGGGGCCCCATAGCTGCTGCCAGGCCCCTAATCTGCCATGGGCCCCTATATACCGCCTCCTCATGCTGCTGCTGCCAGGTCCAGAGTCTCTCATGGGTCCCTGTACGGCCTCCCATTGCTGCTGTCTCCATCGCCACACTCTGCCATGTGCCACTTTCAGGTCTCCTCACACACTGCTGGTGTGTAGAATTTTTTGACATAGGGTGCTGGCAGATTACGGGCCTCCCATAGCTGCTGCCAGGCCCCTAATCTGCCATGGGCCCCCCTATATACCGCCTCCTCATGCTGCTGCCAGGTCCAGAGTCTGTCATGGGTCCCTGTACGGCCTCCCATTGCTGCTGTCTCCATCGCCACACTCTGCCATGTGCCACTTTCAGGTCTCCTCACACACTGCTGGTGTGTAGAATTTTTTGACATAGGGTGCTGGCAGATTACGGGCCTCCCATAGCTGCTGCCAGGCCCCTAATCTGCCATGGGCCCCTATATACCGCCTCCTCATGCTGCTGCCAGGTCCAGAGTCTCTCATGGGTCCCTGTACGGCCTCCCATTGCTGCTGTCTCCATCGCCACACTCTGCCATGTGCCACTTTCAGGTCTCCTCACACTGCTGGTGTGTAGAATTTTTTTGACATAGGGTGCTGGCAGATTACGGGCCTCCCATAGCTGCTGCCAGGCCCCTAATCTGCCATGGGCCCCTATATATACCGCCTCCTCATGCTGCTGCCAGGTCCAGAGTCTCTCATGGGTCCCTGTTCGGTCCCTCCACTGCTGGTGTGCTGAATTTTTTGACATAGGGTCTCAGATTACGGGCCTCCCATAGCTGCTGCCAGGCCACTTCTGCCAGGTCACCCCTATATACACTCCTCTTTTGTGTGCCTTGTCATGGGTCCCTGACACGGCCTCCCATTGCTGCTGTCTCCATCGCCACACTCTGCCATGGCCACTTTCGGGCCTCCCATAGCTGCTGCCACATAGGGGCCCCTATAGCTGCTGCCATAGGCCCCTAATATGCCATAGGCCCCTATATACCCTCCTCATGCTGCTGCCAGGTCCAGAGTCTGTCATGGGTCCCTGTACGGCCTCCCATTGCTGCTGTCTCCATCGCCACACTCTGCCATGTGCCACTTTCAGGTCTCCTCACACACTGCTGGTGTGTAGAATTTTTTGACATAGGGTGCTGGCAGATTACGGGCCTCCCATAGCTGCTGCCAGGCCCCTAATCTGCCATGGGCCCCTATATACCGCCTCCTCATGCTGCTGCCAGGTCCAGAGTCTGTCATGGGTCCCTGTACGGCCTCCCATTGCTGCTGTCTCCATCGCCACACTCTGCCATGTGCCACTTTCAGGTCTCTCCTCACACTGCTGGTGTGTTTGAATTTTTTGACATAGGGTGCTGGCAGATTACGGGCCTCCCATAGCTGCTGCCAGGCCCCTAATCTGCCATAGGCCCCTATATACCGCCTCCTCATGCTGCTGCCAGGTCCAGAGTCTGTCATGGGTCCCTGTACGGCCTCCCATTGCTGCTGTCTCCATCGCCACACTCTGCCATGTGCCACTTTCAGGTCTCCTCACACACTGCTGGTGTGTTAGAATTTTTTGACATAGGGTGCTGGCAGATTTACGGGCCTCCCATAGCTGCTGCCAGGCCCCTAATCTGCCATAGGCCCCTATATACCGCCTCCTCATGCTGCTGCCAGGTCCAGAGTCTCTCATGGGTCCCTGTACGGCCTCCCATTGCTGCTGTCTCCATCGCCACACTCTGCCATGTGCCACTTTCAGGTCTCCTCACACACTGCTGGTGTGTTGAATTTTTTGACATAGGGTGCTGGCAGATTACGGGCCTCCCATTGCTGCTGCCAGGCCCCTAATCTGCCATGGGCCCCCGTACCGACTCCTCATGCTGTGACGTTGCAACAAGGTGGAATTCAACCCTACATATGTTAGACCGCCTTTACGAACAGCAAAAGGCCATCACAGATTTCCTGATGTTAAAAGCGGATAAAGGTACTCCCTGTGTAACTTAGATGTCAGCCATTGGCAGCTCATGCGTGACACCTGCGCTTGCTCAGGCCCTTTGAGGAGGCCACGCTATTCGTGAGTCGGCAGGACTATGGGATGAACGACGTCATTCCTCTGTTGCACGTCCTGGAACAAATGCTGTTAACAATGGCTGGTCAGGGTGCGGTAGACGTGGCGCACAGATCTCAACGCCACATGACCCCTGTGGGGGCAGGACAGGAAGAAGAGAGGAGGTAGAGGAGGACATTGGTGCTCAGGAATTATTGAGTGAAATGGGTGGTTTTTTTTTTCCACTCAGCGGACAGGAGTGGAGGAGCAGGAGCATCTGGTAGAGGAGGAGGAGGAGGAGACAGAGGACCCAGACGCACCGTGGCAGTATGCTGTGGAGATGGAGGCAGGGAGTCCCCTCGCATTCCTTGGCACAAATGGCCCATAGCATGCTCGCTTGCTTGCGTAGCGACAGCCGAATAATAACCATCAGACAGAGGGATGACTTTTGGCTGTCCACCTTGTTGGACCCTCGCTACCGTTCAAAAATGGTGGCCTTTTTCACACCTGCTGAGAGGGAGGCCAAAATAACGTACTATAAAAACCACCTATGTAGTCAGCTGGTCTCTGCCTGTCTGCGCCAACGTCCATCCTCAGACACTGTGGGCCCTGTGCGCTCGCGTTCCGCTGCCATGGCAGCAGGGGAGGGGTGGGGTGGTAGGAGCAGTGGCAGCTCCACCAGCAGCGGCTGCCTCAGTCTGCAGTCGATGATGAGTAGCTTTCTTCACCAGCGCAGTGAGGAAACTACTAACACCAGCCAGCAGCAGCAGCAGCAGCAGCAGCATCAGGTGGACCTGGAGCAGGACCTCAAACAACAGGCTTAGGCCTACTTGGACAGCACCCTGCCAACCGAGGTAGACAATCCCCTTGACTACTGGGCAACGAAACTTGACCTTTGGCCCCAACTAGCTGAATTTGCCCTTGAAAGGCTGTCATGCCCGGCCAGTAGCGTGGCATCGGAGCGCGTGTTTAGTGCGGCAGGAGGTATTGCAACTCCGCGGAGGACACGACTGTCCACCCAAAGTGTGGAGAGACTGACGTTTGTGAAAATGAATCAGGCGTGGATTAGTCTGGATTTCAAACCACCAGTTCCTGACACAACTGACTAAATCCGCCATGAATCATGCCCCAAACATGTGCCACTTTCAGGTCTCCTCACACTGCTGGTGTGTTCCATTTTTTGTCATAGGGTGCTGGCAGATTACGGGCCTCCCATAGCTGCTGCCAGGCCCCTAATCTGCCATGGGCCCCTATACCGCCCGCCTCCTCATGCTGCTGCCAAGTCCAGAGTCTCTCATGGGTCCCTGTACGGCCTCCCATTGCTGCTGTCTCCATCGCCACACTCTGCCATGTGCCACTTTCAGGTCTCCTCACACTGCTGGTGTATTCCATTTTTTGTCATAGGGTGCTGGCAGATTACGGGCCTCCCATAGCTGCTGCCAGGCCCCTAATCTGCCATGGGCCCCTATACCGCCTCCTCATGCTGCTGCCAGGTCCAGAGTCTCTCATGGGTCCCTGTACGGCCTCCCATTGCTGCTGTCTCCATCGCCACACTCTGCCATGTGCCACTTTCAGGTCTCCTCACACTGCTGGTGGGTTCCATTTTTTGTCATAGGGTGCTGGCAGATTACGGGCCTCCCATAGCTGCTGCCAGGCCCCTAATCTGCCATGGGCCCCCGTACCGACTCCTCATGCTGCTGCCAGGCCCGTAATCTGTCATGGGCCCCTGTTGTCGCTTGTTGGCATATTCCGCTCGTTCAGATGCTCCTTCTCCTGCTACTCCTCTTCACGGATTCCGTCAGCAGTCTTTCTTGGAATCCGTTTCCAAGAGACAACAGTTTTTGCGAGCACGCACACCAGACGGTGCAGAAACTGAACGTCCTCCTGTCCAAGTTGCTGCTGCCAGGCTCGTAATCTGTCATGCGCCCCTCTGCATGTGCCACTTTCAGGTCGCCCTCACACCTGCTGTGGTTTCCATTTTTGTATAGGGTGCTGTATGGGGGGGCCTCCATTGCTAGCTGCCTTTCACGCCACACTGTGGATCCACACTCTGGTTTTGGACCCGTGGATGGCCCAAATGAGTGAAGTGTGGGTGATTCTAGATCG